TTAATGTCACACCCCGAGACTGGAAGGCGGTACATCCCGACATCATTAGGTGTGGTGAAATGTTTTGAACATGTTTTGTATTTCCAAAAAAAGACTTGTATTGCAAATAAAAAGAAAATATAAATTTTATTTATTCTGAAAATTTTAATATGACAACTTGGGCTGAAAAATATAAATTTAGTTGAATCAAAACATACATAACAATAGGGAACAACTACCTAGACCCAAAAGAAAAAATAAATAGCTAAAACATACCAAAACTAATAAACTAGAACTTGAAAGTCCGCTCCAATGGATACGGTCCAATTAGTAGCTGAATAAAACTTGTTATGTAAAAATTAAGAATGAGTTTGATAATGTTAGTAAACAATAACTATCTATTAAAGCATAAACAACAAGGGAAATGAAGCATGCATCATGAACAATAAGAAAAAATCATTATTTGTGTATGTAACACTGTAAAACCAATATGAGGCATAAATATCAATTATGCATCCCATAGGAAAACATGCAAGTATTTTACATTAAGTTTTTTATTATTATGTTTTCATTTATTTTTATATAGTCGGTTTTAACTGACACACTGAAATCAGAACTGTCTAAATAGCAACCCAAGGAAACCCGGTGATTTCTTGAAGAATCGTCACTGTGGACCCGTCGGCTCGACTAGCCTTTTATCCAAAAGTGTTCCACTGGCCTATATATCATCACACACAAGAGCGTGTCAAATTTTTTTCACATATATAATATATAAGAAGTATATAACCTTACACACGTTTGTGATATGATGTGAATTCACATGCAGGTTCATAAAATGCAAGAAAAGAAAAACACTATAATTACAGGATTATTCAAGTATGTTGCAATAACTTAATATGGTTATTAGTTTTGGCATGAACAATAAAGTAATTCTATAACAACTACAACATCATGATTGAGGTAGCAAGAGCATGACTGTTAAATATAAGCAGTTGATGTGATTCTGCAACAATTAATAAGGACTAAAGCTCATAATTGGGAATGGTACGTTTATCATCTAATAAACATCAATAACTTACCGCGAGATGGCTATTGCGATACTTTTACAAGTTTGACGGTTTCACTAGTAATCTACAAAATTTAAAAATAAAATTATTAAACAATTAAACTTATTTATTCTTTAAACTAAGTTCGACATATTCGATAATTATTAATGCTATTATTCTAGTTATAATATTTTTAAGAGAAAAAAATTATGCATGTTAGCCTATAAACATACTTGTAATAAGATATTCCTATTATTATTATTATATTCTTATTTTACTAAATTAGATGCACTTAATTTGACCCTTGTTACTATTACCGTTACTATTAAATTACTGTTATTTTTTAAATTAATATTATATTATTGTAAAAGAAAGAATTGTAAGTTAACCAAAAATGATATTCAAACTAATAAAATCTTAAATCTCATTTCTCATCTGCTCACCTTAACTCGGAACTCGGTAATTCGCGTGGAAGATGGATTACGGTATTTAGAGAAGCGATGTGTGTGACAGGGAGAAAGAGAAGTTAGCTTCATCGACAATTTCGGGCAAGAGCGAATGAAGAGGAAGATGGGAGTTTCGGTTCTCTCCCACCATTGCCTTCCTAGCTAGCTTCACTTGCGACAGTATCGTGCAGGTAGAGTCACGAAGTCGATGGTTTCCGGCGAGCAGAGAGAGCGAGAGGAGTGGGAGATCTGAAGGAGGAGATAAGGGAGAGGAATGGATTATCGTCTTCCCACCCTTCATCACTGATGCGTGCTAGAAAATTCGCAGCGGTAGAGTAATGGATTATCGTATTAATATTGCACGAGAATTCAACTCACACAGATAATTCAACGGTAATGTTGAGCTGCAGCTTCTCTTCAAAATCTCAGAGTCTCTCTCTAGGCTGGAAGATGTCTATTTATAGTATTTTTGGTGCAATTAATACAGTAATATGAACCATTTTGATCGGACGGTTCAGAGAGTTTCTTTCAATCATACGATGTTTAATAGACATTTGATGTTTAATAGACATTTGTGTTTAATAGACATTTGAGTGTCTTAATGATGTCAGAATTGAGTGATCTTGGACTTCTTGGGTTCGTCTTATCGAGACGCTCGATTTGAGTATAGGTTTGCTAGTGTCAACATCTATTTGAATTTCTAAATATGTCCAGAAATCTTCCAAAAGTGGTTTAATAACTTGATTTGGTCTTGATTTGACTCGGATCATACTAATTTTTATATCAATTGGTCTGTTTCATCGAGCCGGTCAGTTTGATTATAAGTTTGCTAAAATTGGAGCTCTGGATGACTTTTCATCAAGAGTTGAACGTTTTTTATTCAAAATATCGTCTCGAGATCCGTGTCAAGCCTCGAGATTCATGCCAGATGATAAACAATTGTTGGTGGCATATCAATCCCAATATATGGGGAGCGACAGGTATATGGCAGGAGCGAGCAGGAGACGGGAGTTGTGGAAGCGAGTGTCTTGCTTGATCTTTCCAGTCACGCTAATGTAGAATTAGGCTTGAGCACAAGGAACTTCACTGCACAATTGAAAGAGAAAGATGAGAGAAAGATCGATTTGAGAACAGACGATCTGACAATCCGCGGCATAGACTCTTTCCATGACATAGAGAGAATCCACTTTATCCATGAATGGTATTTTTTCTTCGACGTAGGAATCGAATTGCATGTTTAGGCAAGTGAAGTAACTGCGAGCAGCAAGACTGAAAAGGAAGGCTCCTTATGATCTAACCTACTCACACTCCTTATTTCAATGCACGATGTTGCTTGCCCGCTTCATCTCTCAATCTCGCTCGGTAGAAGGAGGAGACAAGGCAAGAGTTTCATTGTACTGAGACAGTTCAAGTCGCTAATTGAAGTAGGAGCAGGCATGACACAATAACAGAAAACAGTAATTTAATAGTAATGGTAATGGTAATCGAGACGGAAAATTAATAGTAATACTTATGCTATCGAACAAATAGGGAATGAGGCAGGAGCGGGTGGGAGACGAAAAGGAAAAGTTATTTCAAGAAATGAGCAAGGAATGAAAGAAAACGCGTAGAAGAGAACTTAAGTGATAAAATTTTGATTCTTAAGGATTTAGCTTCGATATCTTTATTGAATGCAACAAATCTCTTTCATATCAACTTATGAACAATTTTAGCTCCATCACTTGGAAAAAAATGTTATGCATTGTATGTCTCATTATGTGCTCCTAGCTAACACATAAATTTTAGCCGCCTTCTTTCCTCTCACAGCTTGGTTCCACAAAAGTAAAGTTATGGGGGCCTATGGTTGTGGTCGTGGGGCCCACAAGCTTACTTATCAACTACAACTGCTAGGCCCTACAAGCACACATGCTTGCCCTCGAACATGTAAATTTGGGCATGGTTGCACATATCATGCATGCATGTAGACATCTACACGCACGCATGTTGTCTGCACATGTATCTACATGCAGGTTTGCAAGTGTGCGTTCACGCATGCATACCTATGATGACGATTCGACTTATGTTGAGCCTCGACTTAACCAATTTCATTATTTTTTTTTATTATTTTGATATCTTTTTAATTACTTTCAAAATCCAACGGAACCTGTAAAAAAAAAAATTTAGGTGATTTAAATAAAACTTTAAAATTCTCAACAATTTATGATGTGATTTTAAGAATATTTGATATTATGATAGATGAAATTTAGTTAGCTTATTCGAGAGGGAATTCATTTTGGCATCCAAGAGATGAGATCATCCTTGTTTTCTTTTAAAATTGTAATTTTTTATGTTCTTTTTTTTGAAAATTTATTTTATATTTTCAAAGGGCAAAGCCTTCGAGGACCTCAACACGCAAAAATAAGGGGCGTCAGATGTGTTATCAGAAAATTCGCTTGATCAGACATGAATCTCAATACATATTGGATAACAATTTTATCATTAAACTAAATATCTTGACAATACAAACCTAAGGATATTAAATGGGACTCAAAAGTCGTAAGATTTGAAGTTTTATAATTTCATTAATTAAAATGTTATTTAATTTCCAAATTTGACATAATTCTAATCAAATCAAGTATCTCGATGAAAGAAATCTAATGAGCTCAAGATAATTTTAATACCATTAAATTACTTAAAGAGTAAATAATGATCCATAATAATCAAAATTGGCCTAAAACGTCTAAAGAAGTGCTTTGGGTTTTTGACAAAATTTATCCAAAAATTGCTCCTAGAACACCATAAGTGTGATCTAAGAGAATAAACAAGTTAATAGCTAAGTTCACATTCTTGAAAAAAATTGAAGCTAGAAACGACCAAGAATCGGACTCTCATTAATCATGGATAACTACCTACCACTAATGACTATTATAGCCCAACTACTATCTTGTGTTATTGAAGCAAATACATTATTGCTTAATCTCTGTAACTCAGTAAAAATGATTTTTTTTCAACTTAGAGAGAATAGTGAAATGCTATAGCTTATATTAAATTGTTTTTAGTGAGTCAGATCTTGCAATAATTAAAAAAAAAATCATGTAAGATTTTGTATAACTTCTCTAACTTTTTTATTTATATTTATTTATTTATTTCTAATTACATGAAGATTTTGTATTCATGTAAAATGAATTTTTAACACCCAATTCTATAAATTTTATAACTCAAAGCTATAACTTTTTAGAAATAATTTAATTCCCTGTGAAATAATTGTGCCAAGAATCTTTTCACAAAATCATATATTATTTGTTAAAAGCTCTATTGCACATTTGTTAATTTATTTAGAAATAAACTTTTTTTATTATGTTTTCAAAGAAATGTTATTTCCACAAGCACACCGAACTCATTCCGTGGAAAGAATAAAGTCAAATCAAAGATTAATGTAGACGGATGAGCGAAGTAGTAGAAGATCACGTGCAAGGTGTTTTGGCAGACGAGGATTCGTGCCATCTACCAAGCTCCCTTTCCTCCCCATCCAGGCGTATAAAAAGCAAGCATCAGCGCAGTAGCCAACCAGGCCAAGCGCAAGCTAGTTCTTCGATCGCACCTGCTCAGCTGAGTTCTAGCGGCTAAGGTTTCATTCACCTTTCCCCTTCCTCAAAAACAAAATCACAAAAACTTCCCACCATGCCGAGCCTTGATTCCATCAAGAAGGCCCCAAGAGCCGACGGCTTCGCCTCCATTTTGGCCATCGGGAGGGCGAACCCAGACAATATTATTGAACAGAGCGCCTACCCAGACTTCTACTTTCGTGTCACCAATAGCGAGCACTTGGTCGACCTCAAAAAGAAGTTTCAACGCATCTGTAAGTCATCTCAATTATCTAAAGTCTGTTCTAGTATAATCGATCTCCTTTAATTGCATTCCTCATATTATAAACAGGCTAGAGTTAATAAATTTATAATAATCTTCAGGTGAGAAGACGGCAATCAGAAAGCGCCACTTTGTCTGGAACGAGGAATTTCTCACTTCAAACCCTTGCTTCAGCACATTTATGGACAAATCTTTAAACGTAAGGCAAGAGGTTGCTATACGGGAGATACCAAAGCTGGGCGCGAAGGCGGCCACCAAGGCTATTGAGGACTGGGGGCAGCCTAAATCGCGTATAACTCACCTAATCTTCTGCACCACGAGCGGCATGGACTTACCAGGTGCTGATTACCAGCTCACCCAAATCCTTGGCCTCAACCCAAATGTTGAGCGTGTCATGCTCTATCAGCAGGGCTGTTTTGCTGGCGGAACCACGCTTCGCCTCGCCAAGTGTCTTGCTGAGAGCCGCAAAGGCGCACGAGTTCTAGTGGTTTGTGCAGAGACCACCACCGTGTTATTTCGTGCACCTTCTGAGGAGCATCAGGATGACCTTGTGACCCAGGCTTTATTTGCCGATGGTGCCTCCGCAGTTATTGTGGGCGCTGATCCAGATGAGGCGGCTGATGAGCGGGCGAGTTTCGTCATAGTTTCTACATCTCAAGTCTTACTGCCTGACTCAGCGGGTGCTATTGGAGGCCATGTAAGTGAGGGAGGCCTGCTAGCCACGCTCCATAGAGATGTTCCGCAAATTGTTTCTAAGAATGTTGGCAAGTGCTTGGAAGAGGCTTTCACCCCATTTGGCATTTCGGACTGGAACTCAATTTTCTGGGTACCACATCCCGGCGGCCGAGCGATTCTAGACCAGGTGGAGGAGAGGGTGGGGTTGAAGCCGGAGAAGCTGTCGGTTTCCAGGCATGTGCTTGCAGAGTATGGTAATATGTCGAGCGTCTGTGTGCATTTTGCTCTTGATGAGATGCGCAAGAGATCTGCAAATGAAGGTAAGGCTACGACCGGCGAGGGCCTTGAGTGGGGGGTGCTTTTCGGCTTCGGGCCAGGCCTCACGGTCGAAACTGTCGTTCTACGTAGCGTCCCTCTTTAAATGAATATGCTGCTGATCATTATATTGTTCAACTGTACCTTGGCATCGTTGTTCTTGTATTGTTATAAAGTTGTTACACATTGTTCTGCTGTTAAGGCTTGCGGCTATTAAGCTTTTTTTTTTTTTTAATATATGCAACTTATGTAAAGCTTTTTACTTCTCAAAAAATAAGATTGTAATGAATGTGTTTTATGGAGTTCGAATTTATGTTTCTAACCTGGGTTTTATTTTAGCTCTACTTTTTGAAGTTTCATTCCTTGTTGATTTTCAACTTCTTAAGCTCTAATTTTTGTTATTTATGGTTGTTGAAGTACCTCATTATATGTTATTATACAGGTTTCCATCCGATCTTGTAACCCAATTTACTCCGTTCTCTTTGGCTTGTGTCCGCAACTTGGTCTCAATGGCATCGATTAGACTTTGATATTAATTATTGTGCAAAAAAATGTGAAAAATAAAATCATGCAACAAACAAAAAATCAAACATTGTGTGATTTATGAGGTTCAACCCAAATTAGCCTATGTCATGATGAGGGCTTATTCCATTATCAATAGACGAGGAGAAGAAAAGATGATTGAAATTGAGTTACAACTCCACACACTAAAATCAATCATAATACTTCCTATAAGTAAGAAAGGATTATTACATACTAATAAAAATAAAAATGGACTAATATACCCATTCTACAAACACAGCCTCTAATAAAACATGGGATCTATCAAAACATTTTCGGTATGTTAGGTATGGCTCATATATCATAAATAGGACCGAAAAAATACAAACACAGCCTAATGGCCGCCTAACTACATGTTTTATACAAACACAACCTAATGGCTCATATACAAACACAACCTCTAATAAAACATGGAGCGGAGCGGTGCCCACGAGTGGAGTGGAGCGGAAGGATCTGTCCAATCGGGGGAGCTTCATTATATGGGTTGGGGGTGTGGGGGCAACACCCCGTGGTTTGGTACAGGGGTAATTTAAGTAATTACATATTGTACTATAGAGTTATATATATGTCACGTTTGTAACCTTAACAGAGTCTCTGAGACTCCGAGATTTTGAATCTTGTATTTTACACTCTCACCAGAATATTAACAAGAAAGTCTCTGCTCCCGAGGATATAGACGTCTTTACCTAACCTCGTTAAGTCTCTGTGTGTTCTTCTGGATTTATGTCGATTTCTATATTTCTTTGCGTTAATTTCTCAACAAGTGGTATCAGACTGAGGTTCGAGAGCAGGGAAGAAAATTTTGGGCGGCGCATGAATAAAGAAGATTTTGACAGAGGAGATTGGAGGTTAGGGAAGGATTTATGCAACCTTCCTTACAGTTCGGATCTCGGCGCAAAAAAATTTTGAAGACCAAGCAGGCTTCGACGGTTCGGCGGATTAGCGATCAAAACTTCGGCTTCACGCGATCGCAGGCGGGGAACATTTTCGCAAAGCAGAAGACCAGACGATTCATTCTGCGAAGGCAACAGAAGGTTCAACAGGGTTCTGCGATCCGGACGAAGTCATTCGCGAAGGTTTGAAATCGTTGCCAGTTCACGTGCGGTTCGGGGCGAACAAGACGAACGTGTTGTGAAATTTAATGCGGAATAAAACAGGAATCGACACAAACTAGAAGAACACGGAGATTTAACGAGGTTCGGCAAAGAATTGCCTACGTCCTCGGGAGCGAGCGGCGGTTTCACTATTTCAGAGAAGTTCAATTACATCCCATAGGGTTTCCCATATAAATAGACATATACAAACCCTCAGATAAAATTACAATCACGCCCTCGCTCCTCCCAACCCCCTTTATTCCAAGAGACACTCCTTTTCACCAGGAGACACGCCTCTTCAAAAGAAACTCCAACTCCCCAGATATGAGCCATATCTAACAATTCTCCACCTTGGCGAATATCCAACACCTTAGGAGATATGCATC